AATCGGCATTTGCCCAACATATACTAAACAAACGCTGCCAGTACGGACCGATGACAGTAATCACAGAAATGGTCGAGAAAGCCAAAAAAGGGAGCATCATGAATATAAAAGAAAACTTCCATATATATCGCTTTAATAAGCTCAACAAATTGATAGAAGAACAAAAACACACAAAGGAAAGTGACAACCCATATAATATATTCGACCTTATAATACAACATGAGTACACGTCCACACTAACGTCACAGACACAAGGAGTATAAATACGCAGTACAACACAACCTAGAACAGTAAAAACAACACAGCCAACCACAAACACATACAGGACAACATTAAAGGTAGGACGAAATAAAAGTTTTTACAAAAACATAACAGGGTTGCTGAAATAATACAGTATACCCATAATATATTTGCAGAACCCTCTTCTCGAGAACGGCAAGGCGGCACGCGGTGAGCCCCCGCCAAGAGAAATAATAAGAGGGACGACACGAACCTACTTGGTTCATAAATTCCAGTAAAAATTTTAATATACCAATTACAAATATTTTAATGTATTGGAACAGCCGCTGTAGTTGTAAAAATTTTAGATTTTATACCCAACTGTATATTATTAATATTATGTGTATGTATTTTGGCGTTCAGAACATGTATTGTAATAGTGACTTCTAGCTGTATTGATGTAAAGGTGTCCCACTGATGATGGTCTCTGAAGACCGAAACATGTAAGGGCATAAATACTTGAAATAAGAAAAATCTTCACCAATCACACTAGACGGAACTTTTTTACTTTTCTCGATGTAAAATATGTCCGTGTCATCTTCGGTAGGAGGACGACATGAAGAGTCCACGTCGAAAGTAATGTAGCCAAGACCCTGGCCGCATGCACGAAGAACCTAGTCCATATTCGAAAGTGAGCTTTTGGGCTTTAAAATAAAAATTACTCTTTATAAAGCCATAATTAGGTGAATAATGATTTGTGCTCTTCGCACCTCGGAGTGTGCAGTGGATGCTCAACCTTACCCATTGCGGCGTCCAGAGAAACGAGTTCTCCGCGCTACTGGCAATTCTAACAGGCGCATACCGGTCCGCGAAATACACATTGCTTACATGTGAGGAAAATTACGCAGGAAACATGAAGAAGCTATCCAGAATCATCTAGATCCAAACGTGCGCTCAATTAAGCAAGGAGAAGCCATGCACAGAAAGCACAAAAATTTAAACTTGGCTATGGTCAGGCCTACGACCGCTCAAGCGACTATCAGCCTTTTCGGAATGGTAAATAAGGCATAATCTTCTGCAGAAGCATGCATTGGCAGATGCTCTATGTATATTTTGCATAAGAATTATTCATTGTAATATTGTGACAGAGTGTAAGGTATCCATAAAGTATAAATACCCTTACCTGGACGTTGCGTGAGTGCTGGTACACTCGTGCGAAATTATAGTGCAAGAGATCTGTCGCTTACTCAGAAACACCGACCCCCTCCTCTCATCGAAGCGGACACCTCATTTCTAAACACGTAAACGGTTTGGAACGAATATAAATTAGGCCATAGGTCCCGCCGGTGGTGGAAATAAAGAATGGCACTGCTGCCAAGAGCCGGAAGTAATTTGCTGGACTGGACTGTACTGGACTCTTTGAAATGTTAACACAACTTCCGTCCTCCCTTGGCGCTTAGTCTGCGACCCTGCTTTTGACCGATATCAGATATTGGAAAACATGTATTTGGCTTCAGTTATTTATGCATCGCTCAGTTGGACTCCACCCCCTACTAAGCGAATTAAAAGAAAGATTAATTTTTAAGATACAGACCTAACATTTTTAAATGTAATGCAGATTGTTTTAGTTAGACAATAGACTATCTGCTACCCAATCAATAAAGTTTAGGATTTTGTACAAACATTTTTATATTAAAATTTTGGTGCCATAAAAAATGTTGAGTATTAGAACTTAGACTAGCAGACACGTGAAAGAATGAACTTTCTCTCAAATTTTGTGTTTGTGTTTAAAATTTCAAGAATTGTTGAGCTGAATTAAGGGACCCGACAATCGCAGCGTACTTCGCCGTCAGAATCCGAATTCCAGAAGTTTATTATCTATCTGGTGCAACAAATTACGTATCTGACTCGGTATCAGTGTGTTTCGATAATTTATGTTTGTACTCTACGTGTTGTTTCTCGTACAGAGTACCAAGTTCCCTGTGCAAGCAGCAGATGGCATGCAGCTCGCTGTACGGTTTATGACTTCCCCTTCATTTGCCTGGCTATAGTCCCACTCCTTTTAAAATGCTGATGCGTGTTTAAGTGAAAGTTCTGAAAAGTTGGTAGATTATGTGCATACATCTTAAATAAAACCTGAGACTGTACCAGAATCATTATTTTGCTCTTCACGAGGTCCAGAAAATGTATCAAAACCTTCATATTTTTACACCTGAAACGAATGTACTAATAATTCAAATATTAAGATGGGTGAAAGAATATTTTTATTTACATTTATTTACTTGAGTTCGAAATTTGAAACACAGGTGTTCGCCCAATTAAAACCAGATTATTGCTGTGTAAGGTCCTAAAATTTACAGACTTCACTTTTTTAAACGTACTCAACTTACAGTATTATATTTAAGCATCCTATTACACTCACACAATATATGAGACAAACTTCGTCTTAAGTGCAACAATTTAATTGTAGTTCTTTCTCCTTTCCTTACTCTACACTACATGTTTCGGCCCTAAATGGCCATTTAGGGCCGAAACATGTAGTGTAGAGTAAGGAAAGGAGAAAGAACTACAATTAAATTGTTGCACTTAAGACGGAGTTTGTCTCATATATTGTACTCAACTTAATTTACTTACGTGTCCTAATCTTAGTTCAGTTAAATTTTAAGACATATATTTCTCCGTTCCTAGACAGCTTTGTCTGGTAATATGCATTATTCTACATATGATAATTTATTATTAACAACCTTCCAAATTTTTTGTTGTTGTTTTATTCTGGTCCGTCACACTAACAAAACAAAATAACTACGTCCAGTGTGACTATTGAAGTTTTTACTACTTGAAAACCCTTACATGTTTCGGACCCTATAGACCATCATCAGAGGAACATCGATAATTTTTGGAAACTACTATCACAATGGGTGTTTTGAGTGTTAAAATATATATACATACAATGTTTGTAATGCACAATATATACAAAATCCAACTTTTCCACGACTACAGTAGCCCCCATCACGAAAGACGATAGGAGAAGAGACACGAACCTACTTGGTTTATAAATTTTAACATAAATAATAAAGTTTTAAAAACTTTAATACACCAAGAAAGCTGCCGTATTTGTGGAAAAGTTGGATTTTGTATATATTGTGCATTACAAACATTGTGTATATATGTATTTTAACACTCAAAACACCCATTGTGATAGTAGCTTCCAAAAAGTAACGATGTCTCTCTGACGATAGTCTATAAGGAAAGAAACTTGTAAGGGTGTTAAATTTTCGAGTAGTAAAAACTTCAATAGTCACCCTGGACGTAGTTGTTTTGTCTTTGTAACCTTCCGCTTCTTACACATTAATTCATCTCTGTACTTTCTCATTTCAAAAGAGTTTAATAAAATATGGTCCCAGTATTCCTATCCTTGAGATAGTGGACATATTTCTTCTCTGTTCCACTTCTTCTTCCCATTTTCCATTCTCCCAATATCTACCATGCTCTAAATCTCTTTCCTTCCTTCTGCAACAAAGCGTTATTTCTTCTGTATCCCATACAGGTTATGCAATAAAGATCTGTAGGAGTTTGGAATCGATTCTCTCATTTAAACTTAACCAGATTATTGAAACCAGCTGTATGCACCTTGTAATGTGAATATCGGGCAACACGACGCATTGGACGATAGCTTCTGATATTTCCTGGATACTCTGAAAAAATATAATTCTCTTCTTGACTATTGACTAGCGAGGAAATTATAGTGTAAATCTATTTCACGCTCAAAAATACATATTAAATTATTTTTCTGTTCAATAAAATTGTCACGCAATGAAGAACTGCCTACAAGTTGGACCTCTCAAATCCGACACAACACGTGGCCTGGTACGCGTTCAGTTTTTCGGTACTCTAACCGGACTTAAATATTTAAGTTTAACAAAGCTCTCAGTATCAGAACTCGAAGCGTCGATGATAGAATAGCTACTGAATATCGAGCAGTTGTTGGATTTAAAATACGTAGCAGGGAAATTACAGGGACAAAGCCTGGTTCAGTACCACACTTATCCACTCATACTTAAAATAAACTACTCTGTATTTATAATGTTGTAATGTAATTACAACACTCGCAGCTAAAAAGGGAACACACATCACAAGACACGATTTGCACAGAATATAAGAAAAACGACCCCATAGTGGAAGAACCACACGCAAGTTTTAAATAAGACACATAAGATAAATAATCTTAACAAGTTTTAGTGTGTGTAAATTTATTATAGTTTACGAATACGCACTTTTTAAATACTTTTTAAATAATTTTATGAAGACATATAATGGCAATCAATGCAATAGATTATCGTAATTAGGGCACCTGATGATGGCACTATGTTGCCGAAACATGTCGTGAAGTAACAGGTGAAATTCAGTGCACTACAACACGGCTACTCTGTATTTCTTGTCACATGTTATCATTTTATATTTCCTCTGCTTATTTCCCTTTACCAGTGCTTTAAATTGCGTAACAACACTAACACATTATGTACGGTGGCTTACTTGAGTAATATATTGACCACCCATGGTTCGGAAAAATTTCTGGTTCGTCTTCGGTCTTGTCCCAAGGGTGCCGGATGTGAGAGGTTGACCTGTATAACCCTATTTTAGTGGCGTAACAATTTTAAAACATATTTTTAAACCAGTGTATTCAAATTACACGCCCTAACTTCTGTGCACGTGACTGGTGAATGTGAAATATGACGTCAAAGAGACTATTGGTCCGTTTCCACTTATATCAGTAGCTGAGATGACCCTCGTTCAGACTACAGAATCGACAGTTGATCTTCGGCAGCTCGTAAAAGCGGGAAAGAAGATATAAGAATTGGTATGTGTTCTAACATATTTTATGTTGGTGTGAGAATGGGTGAAGCTGGCACATAACTGATTTTTCAAGCTTTTACAGAAGATAAGAGTGAAAGAACTCATTGTTCCACACATACAATACAGCGTACTAACTTTATCAGAAAGATAATTAACTCAGTGTAGCGGCAGTCTTTCACGGCGTGTTCGTCTCGGTATAAGCCGGAAGATTTCAGACCTCAAGCAAACACTGGAATTTTTCCTTATAATAGGCACATTGTTAGCTCGTCTTCACAATATGTCCGTAACTTCACACTTATCACAGCATAACCTATGCGGTTGACACGGAATCGTCAAGTAAGCTAAGAAAAAGTATGTAAGAATTTACAAAAAACGACGAGTTTTATAAAATTACTCCTATATATAATACTACTGACACCAGTTGTCACGTCTATCGTGTGGCTAAAGATGGGGTTTGGGTTGGTTAATCGGCTTATTGGATATTCACTAATCGTAACTAAGATTAATTATAACACTCTCCATATTACTGTAATTATAGCGCGCACAAAGTCTTAAATTCACGCGTTAAATCTTCTCAGGTCGACTTCTGGTTCTTCTTCAACTCAACTCTGATCTAATCCTGAGTCTTACGTTACGACCGACGGCCAGTCGGCCAGTCTATCTTGGAATAAAGCACCAATCTGGGGCTTACGACCACATTTTTATTAGTCAGACACTTGCGAGTTTGTTGATGTGGGACACTTTCTCTGGCGAGAGGACGTGTCTGTCGTTTACAATTGCTGCTGGTCCTCGCCAGCGCAGTTATTCTCGTGTCCGAGTACCGCGGGACTTGCGACGATATTTTACTCCTTCAGATTCGTGACTTCCCTTTTCGTCGCATCCTACGACTCTCTGGGCTACGATAGAGGTATTCGACCCCGCCTCCACAAGGGTTTAATCTAATCCTATCTGCAGGCTCTCGTTATATAAGACCCGGCATGGGTCGCATAGAAAACATCTTTTGTTCTTGCAGAGGCATGTATATTACGGAATTGCGTATCAAGCAGTTTCGACGTGTATTGTTATAGCAGTGGACTCCGTATTGTTGTCATGCAATAATAGGGGAAGGTGTTTACAGGCCCATTGCCTAGCAATGAAAATCCGTGTTACATATATTACATAATACGACATGTGGGTCATAAAGATATAGACCTACCATAAGCTAGCTAATTATATATAGACCTAATTACATTTCAGGCCTTGTTTTAGCCACCTAACAGCTCTCCCTATACAGCGTCAGTAGCTTTCATTGCAAAATGTCTCTAAAATTCAGCAAATCAAATTGAAGCTAGACCACTAATGCTTTGTGCGGGCAACGTGAGGTAAAGTTATCCCGGTAACAGGCCGTGGAGGCAGTGTTGTTACCGAACACAGCTTCTGCAGCGTATCTCACGGATTCTGTAATCGACATCCGACCTGACAAGCTGCGACTGCGAGGCGGCCTAGCGGTAGCGTTCTAGAATTGTATTCTGAAGGCTCTCGGTTCGGATCTCTGCCAAGTCGCCGACTATTTTTACTGACGTTCTTCATGGATTTCTTCAGCTCCTCCAGGTAAATTGCGAGATAGTATAGTACCTTGGCTAGGCCACGAGCGCTTCCTCCCGTATACTTTCGAAGTCACAATTCATCGCTTGTCTTCTCATTGGACGTTATAGTCTCGCAACTGACAGTGTTGTCAATTACCAAAAAAAATTCAGAAACCTGGGATAATTTTAAATGAATAAGACATAACCCCTTACACTCCCTTCGTTTACATATCACACCCATAAAGACATTGCATATATTCTTGTGTTAAAGGTAAAAGGTAAATCTATCCCTGTGCAGTGGAGGCCCATAGGTTTGTGAGACATTGAGGGTCCCACATTTTTCAGACAATCGGCTCAAAGATGGCGGTAAGGTTGTCAGCCTTACGCGCCGGCCGCCCTTCACCCCCAGGAAGATTCCTGTTACTCATTTCTGTAGAGGCTGAGTCGACCTCGGGGCCATAGTGCGGCTGGAAGGATTAGGTAAACTGAAAAATTCCAATGACCTCATCGGGACATTCCGGCTTGTAGCATAGTGTCTCAATCACCTACGCTACCGCGTGCCCCTTATATTCTTGTGTTAGTTATTTAAACATGCTACTTCAACCGTAGTAACCGTTACTCTGTTTCAGTCTTGATGTTACGTTGGTAAAATGAAGTGATGATTATTAATTATGAATTAGATGGATATGGTAGAAAGTCCTCGTATATTTCAAAGCATTTTAGTAACCACTGACGGAAACTACGAATATTTTTAATTCTGACGTATATTTCTCAGCTTGAATTCGAACAGGGCTTATTCCGAATGAGTTAGATGCAGCTCTGCTGTCTTAACCGTGAGCAAAGTATTGCGAGAAGTTCGGATTCCTCTTACTGACATTCTGTGGACGGTCAGACTGTACGTATTATTGGAATTGTACATAACAGATTACGGATAAACGGTATGTGATGTACTGTTAACCTGGCGCGTGCGCAGGTGTTACGGTGGCTACTCAGTCGTAGCTATGCGAGAAGCAGACGCTATGGAAATATGCAACTGGGTTAGGCATTACAAAGTCGTCACATGAGTAGTGCATGTCACGTGATAAATACACCAGCAGGAAGCCTATTAAATACGTCAGTATATTCTTAGGTCTAACACACACGCAATATCATATTTATTCATTACTACGTCTTACATGAGTTTGCAGACAATATAATGTGTACTCTTCTCCAAATATAATTAGAATAAACAAGCCATGGAGGATGAGGTGGACAGGGCATGTAGCATGAATTGGGGGAGAGGAGAAATCCATACAGGATATTGGTGGGAAAGCCAGAAGGAAAGAGACCACTGGGAAGACCAAGACGTAGGTGGGTGGACAATATTAAAATGGATCTTAGAGAGATAGGATGGGATGGTATGGATTGGATTAATCTGGCTGAAGATAGGGACCAGTGGAGGGCTCCTGTGAACACTGTAATGAACCTTCGGGTTCCATAAAATGCTGGGAAATTCTTGAGTAGCTGCAGATTTGGCTTCTCCTCAAGAAGGGCTCAGCTCCATAAATACGTAGAGGCCTATGGCACCGTTAGATCTCCCAACAATCCACTTCATATAACGTTCTGGTAGTGAGCTTTTGGGTTGTGTCACTGTGTAGTCTTGTAGGTGGATACAGACGTTTCGGAGGAACATGCTGCCTCCATCTTCAGGCTTGAATCATGTAGCTTGAATAACCACGGTTATACAAGCCGGTTGCAAGTAAAATGGTCACTTCGACACAAAAAGAGGCAGGAGGCAGCATGTTCCCCCGAAACGTCAATACTCACCTACAAGACTACACTGTGTGACACTCCAGAAGGCCACATTCGGGACAATCGTCTCCATAAGAACTCGAAACTTGTAATGTCTTCTTTCCAAACCAGTTGCCAAATAGTCTTCTTTATGTACAACACAAGTTCAATGGCCTGCTCCAGTTTGTAGGAAAATTTATAATATTTATGGCTAGTTTCCGATCGAGAAACAATAACACAGTGTTCGCCTTCTGACTTCGCTCGCAGTTCCTAATCCGTTTCGTGTATGTATGAGTATGAGGGGTGGGGCATAATAATCCGGCCCCTTGCTCCGCGACCTTCAGTGATATATTGTGCTTAATCCGTTTCATGCTGACTATACTCATTAATGAAATATTTATCTAGGGTCTTTACTCGCACTGTTGTTGTCGACACTCGCAAATCCCATCTGCACCCGGAACAACTGCCTCCACTCGCCCCAGTCCATGCTTCTTCGTCTGGTTTCTGCGTTGGTGCTGAATATACTGCATTTTATCACGCTGACAACTAATCTTTGTTATTTTAAATTTCTTTAAAGATTCCAATAGCCGGAATGTGCTGAGCAATGATATGGTGAGTCAGGATCATCTATCAGCACTGAGGGTTTGGTGGTTTTCCTCAGTTGCCTCCATACAACTTGTCGGATAGTACCTAACACTTCAATTTATCTATTCATCAATGGCTCTACAGCCCTTTGCTGGGCCCTGGCCTCTTCTTAAGATTCGTAATCTTTTTTACACAGTCGGTAGGACTCCTTGGACGAGTGATCAGCCTGTCACAAGGCCGCTACATGAACACAGCAAAACACAAACGTAGAATAAACGCACACACAGACATCCATGCCTCGAGTGGGATTCGAACCCACGATCCCAGTGTTCCAGTGAGTGACGACAGTTAATGCCTTAGACCACACGGCCACTGTGATCGACGGCTTAAAATTTAACACGAATATTTACAAATAATTCCGAATTTATGTCTCCCAATCGACCTTCCTTTCGACGTAAGTCAGTATAGCTGTAAAACCGTCGTGACATGGTACAAGAAAGTCCCATACAAAGTACATCCAACATCGCAGTCTTGCTGTGTGGACAGATATCACGATACGCAGTCATTCCTTTGAGAACGTGCTTGAAAATTCCAGTCTTTCTTGCCAGATTTTAAAATGTTAAAAATATTTCATTACGTATTTTTATAAACTGTAAATACTAGTCTGGCAGACATAGACGTTGTAAACAGCGCACGCGACCGTCGTCTACTATTTGGGTGGCTCTGCCTAGTCCGCGATGTGAACCATGTGTTCACTAGGCCTATATTTCTAATCAGCATTCAAGTGGGCCAGCGTTTTGACGTTTTTATTTTAGTTGACTGTGACCTTGGGTGTTAATTTCAAGAGCATAAACACAAGGAGAAAAGAAAACTTGATTATATAAAGCCGTGTAAAAATAATAAGGAAACACATTTTGTGACGACAAAAAGACAGAAGGAACTATGCTAAAGATGGGAAGAAATTTGCAAGAAGGGGAAATGTAGCCTGTGTACGATTTGAGGTTCTCAGAGCCGCGGTTATGAAGAGTTCTATCTACTGGGGTAAAACGTCGTGCAGCCCATTGAAAGTTAAACGAAGTTTCTT